TTGCCAAGCTTGTTCTAAGTAGGTGCTTTAGACCACTGAGCCATCTCTCCAGCCCCAACAAAAGCCCTCTTCCTACCGCAGCTTTCACTGTAGATGCTGAGCTGAGGTCCTATTGCTCTCACAAATCATCATTACGATCCCGGCTACAGGACTGCCATGAACACATCTGTTTTTCTCATATCGTCCCATTTTATACTTTGAAGGAGAGGAGGTGGTTCAGTCTAACCCTTTGAAAAAATGTTCCATCACTTATCACGGAGGTGATGTTCCAGACACCCCCGTGATAAGTAAAAAATCAGTGAAGTAGTGACGTTACATTTATAAACCTTTCCCCCACTTTTAAAGACACTTCTAATGTTTTTAGACATTTTTTTTTTTTTTTTTTTTTTGGTGGAACCGGGGATTGAACTCAGACCCTTGCGCTTTCCAGGCAAGTGCTTATTCTACTGAGCCATCTCTCCATCCCCTCTTAGCCATTTTCTAAACTCATAAAACAATGTACTTTTAGCAACCTACATATACTGTATGGTACAGTATGTATTCATCTGCTAAAGAAATACATAGCATAAGCAGTATATTTTATTTCAATTTAATATTCTTTTAATACATTAGAATTAACATTTTAATATATTTTTGTATATTTAAGTTTTTTAGACAGAACTCATTAAAATCATAAATACTATTCATATAGTGCACTGAGACAGCGATTAAGACTGGGCGTTGCAGCATGCCTGTAATCCCAGCACTTGGGATGCTGAAAAACAGGAAGGATCACTATAAGTCCAACCTGTGTGGTGAGACCCTGTGGACCCTGTACTAAATACATAAAAACTACTATGCATATACATACATATATAGTAGTGTACACCACCACAAAATCCTTCAATATAGTGAAAATTTGCAATAAATTATTTGGATTAATATTTCTTGAAAATCTGTGAAACAGTGAATCTGCTTAGGTAGAGCCATGAAATAGCGAGGGACCACTACAGTCTATTTTGAAATCTCTGGAACACAATCTTCATCTTTTCTGTAATGTTCCTTTCTATCTTTTTCTACAGAAAGTTAAGCGCCTATTCCCTTCTTACAGATCTCCGTACATCTAACAAATTCATGTCTTTTTCAAGGATTATAAAATCTTGTATAAGTGTATTTCTAAATCTGGTATGGGAAGAACTACTACAGCTGTTCACTGTCCGTCCACATTAGAAGCATCTAGCACAGTGCTAGAGGAAAGGCTTTCCATTTAAAGAGTTGGAGCTATGAGTTTCATTTCTCAAACTCAAGACCACAATGCCGCATAACCTTTTAGAATCTGCATTTAATATGAATGGGAAATAATTGTGTCTCTTAAGGTATGAGAAGCAAATAATATATGAAATGTACAGACATGTCTCTAACACACAGTGGCTGCTGATACACGAGAGGTATTCTGCAGGTCATCTGCTTGTCATGTGTAAGCATAATCATGACTACAACTGACAACTTTGTAACCTTTAAAATATTTTTTAGAAATCATTGAAAAGTTTATTGTTAAAAATGTATTGGTAGAGTGCAGGGACTTTCATGAAACCATTACTAACAGAGCTGATAAGGGCTTAGTAGTGGATGGGCAGTGACAAATGAAAAAAACTATGGGGAAAGTCATGTGCAGCATTCAATACAGTGATTAAATCTTTTACAATCTTAAACTTCATTTTTACATCATTGTGTCTGTATTAGTTATGGTTGCAACTTGAATTTTTCCAAGTTAAACATATTAAAGTATGTTTTAGAAAAAATGTTCCTATACAATCTATATAAGATTTGAAATTTTTAATTCATCTGTCATTATTTTTGACTATCTCTGTTATTAACTGCCTATTTTTTGATATGTGATCATGAAATTTTGGTTTATTCATAATTGGCTTCCCAAAAACTATTTGTGTCCCTCTTTTCTTTTTTTCCTTTTGCATTATTCAACTCTCTTGCTTTCCCTGATCCTTGCATATAATTTACCTCCCATTTCTCTGCTCTTAGACACCTACTCATTTACTTTCTAAAAATATTTCAAATATTCATTGCCTTGTCAATGTTTTATAATTACAATCACTTCATGTATTTCAGACTTCCTTCTTTATACATTCATCTCTCATTTTCTTCAACTTTTCTCTGAACTATAGTACTTCTAAATAACAAAAAGGTTCTTTTGGATGTGAAAATTGAAAATGTAAAGTAAAAGCTAAATAATGAAATAAATAGGTTGGCTTTATAGCCTTTTAGTATTAAGTATGTTCTTCATACTAGTTTCAATAAACCCAACTTACAAGACTTACATTGATTTTGCTTATCTTAAAACAATTTCTAAATCAAAGCTGAAAATAAGACTCCAAAGCGTAATTGATTTTAATATGTTTATAGGAAATGAATAAATTTACCAGCAGAAAAAGTAACACTTTACAGATTTTTAGCCTCAAAGGATAATACATTGTTCATAGAAACCTATCACCACTATAGGTACCATAATATGGCAATATTTATACACAAGGCCACTTACCATTATGAAAATCAGAGGCAGTGGCAATAGTAATGCAATACATTAGTTTGTCTTTGTTAGACATTCTGCTATTATACTTCCTGGCCTGCAGGAGTATTTGCCAGGATACAAAACAAAATGTGTGACCTCAGTTTTAACAATACATGAAAGCTCTGGCTGCTTGTCCTCAACCCAATATTTACTATGTGATCACTAACAGTGTCCTCACATTCCATTCCCAAGAAATCAAACATTTAAAAAGTTTTGTTTGGATATCAAAAGATTATTTTTATACAAAATAACAAATGGGAATATCAAGATTTAATATTCTATAGACCTAAACTTAGAGGAAAACAATTGTGCAAGTATTTAGTGAAGAACAACTTGAGATTTAGACTAGGGAACAACAGAGCTTTGGACAAGGGAAAATATGATAAAATTATTTTTTTTTCAGTTTTAGAGTTCATCATTTTAAAACATACCAGATAATTTTTGAAGGCCATTCATATTCATTATTTAGATTCATTTTATTAGTGGCATATACAAAGCACCATGTAATAAAACATATGAAATGTAGAACAATCATGACTATGTAATTAACTGTAGAAATAACTGCTAAGAAAATATAGCAATATTTAACACAGGATTTCTAAAACCATTACATATTCATTAGTTTTCCCAAAGCTAATGTCCCATGTTTCATTTTATAGACTTTGTCTATCATGATTTATATGCATTTGGCACAGGGAGGAGGCTGAAAATAGTTTCTATCTTCTGTACAGTAATGTTACAGTTTTATACAAACTTCAGAACTCTGGCATCTGGAATGGTCTTTGTGATTCCCTTCCAAGTGTTCCATTTCATACAACAGCAAATACTCTAAATGCCTTTCCTCCTGGAGGATTCTGTAAACTGCAAAAAATACCAAAAAAAGTTGATGTCACTTTCACATATAATCCTTTTAATAAATTGTAATGTCTTATGGCAGTCAAGAAAGGAGCTCGATGACTGTAGATGATCAATGCAATTGGGCTACTATAATATATAGTTATTGAAAAGCTCAAGGATGATGTAATTCTTTAAGCTTTGATTGTATGTTGAACTAGCTTACTAATAAATTCAAGAGTATAGGAAAAATAGGAGTCACTATAGAATTTAACATATTCTAGAGATAACAGATTCTAGAGGATGCCTTCACACATTACTTTTCATTTTAATAAAGCAGAATTAGTCAGCTGTTATTGCATCTAATTGGTGACGCTGAGATTCAGGTTTACATGTGATTTGGATAGTTAAAAGTTAATTTGAATTTAAAAAGTAGTTGATATCTGAGAAATGCTATAGGAAATGTTTATTGTCTTTTCCTAAGTCTGACAAAATTTAAATTACATTGCTGTCATACAGATTCATGCTTTTCAACATTTATAGCTGCAAGAAAAAATGTTATTGAGGAAATTTAATGGTCAAATATGAAAGGACATACTACCTTCTTCACTAAAATGGAAAAATGCACACATATCAAGCACTATTTCATTCTTAGTAGCACTTTTAAAGCTAAAATCAGAAGTAATTATACATTAATTTTCCCAAAGCTTATACATTTTAATTTCTATTATTTTGTATTTGACAACATCAGTCAAGTTATATTTAATCTCTAAAAGTTAAAGCAGGCTAATAATAGCTTAACCATTATTTAATTTCATCAACTGCACAAGCTTTTGAAGTTTATACATTTTTGTATAAAGTTAATTTTCTTAATAATTAAAAAAAAAAAACACTTAGGGCTGGCCAAATAACTCAGCAGATTAAAGCTCCTGCAAGCAGATGCAAGGGCCTGGGGCTTGATGCCCGGGCCTGCCATGCTGGCCCTGCCCCTGAGGCTCACTGAGATGGCAATTTAGACTGGGCATAGTGGCACGTGCCTGTAATCTCAGCTTTTGGGAGACTGAAAACAGGAGAATCACTATGAGCCTGATGTAGTAGTGAGACCCTGAACACCCTGTAGACCCTTCCCTAAAGTACAAAAAATTAAAAAAAAAAAAACACTTAAAAACCAACACAGTGAATGCTAAGACAAAGTACAGTTCCTCTTACACATTTATTCAAAGGACATAATTGTAGAGTGAAAACTAGATAAGGTCCTCACAATATGCACATACAACACACAACACATGAACCAGGTTTCTCAAAAAAGCAGATGGCCAATCTAAAGCTATTTGGATTTATTTATACTTACAGACTAAGAGACCTAGAAGGTGCAGGTATTTGGTGTTTCTTAATTGTTCAAAGTAATATACTAGAAAAATGTGTATCATTAAGCTCATAGACCTAGTGCTGAACTGGATCTTCAATATTAAGTTATATAACATTAGGCACACCAATTATTTAATCAATTTAACTCTCAGCTAATACAGATACAAATTACAATTTACAGAATCAAAAGTACAGAACTGTTAGTAGAGCTGAGCTAATAGGTAAGAGTACACTAGAATCTTCTGTTTGAACTGTTCATAGTATCTACGAAAAATAATTGTTTTCAGATTTATGAGGATGTTGGCTATCATTTTGTAGTTTTAAAATAAATGGAAGAAGTATGAGAGGTAATTTAACTCTTACCACTCTGTATAGATTACAAAAGAGCCTATGGGATTCTATAACTGGAGATTCTACTTTCTATCACATACCCTCACAGCAGGCCTGGAGCTAGGTTAGAGGGAAGCTGCCTTCTCAGCAATGGTTTGTGCTGTAAGCTTATCTGAAAATAGATGACAACTGTAGCTCTCTCTCTTTAGGAAGATGACACATAATAGTTCAGGTGGATAACCTGCATGGCATATCCCTTGTTGCTCTTTACATAAATCTGCATACTATATGTGGGGATCTTTCATTGGCAATTTTGAAGAATTCAGCAAATATATCTAAGAAGGATTCTTTCCTGTGTCTATACGTATAAATCAGACCCATTATTATTTCCATACATGTCAATAACTTAAGAAGTCATTAAAGACTCATTTCTTACAATGGTTACTAATACTTGATAAGGTGAGTCACATAAACTATCTCAAATTATTAAAATATGTAACATTTACTTGGTTAAATAGCATGAGATAACCTAAAAGGTTTCACTTATATCACACTAGGAATCCAACTTTTAGTCAAAGAGAATTTGGATTTAGCGAAAATCAAACTCATTGTGTGTGTCAAATACTTTGTCAGATCACTAGATTAGAGAAAGACCCAGTGCCTTGCTGACCTAGAAGAATGAAATAAATATAAAAACAATAATCTAGAAAATCCAAAAGAGGATCAAAGAAATCTCCTAATTATAAGATCAATTAACAAAAGACTGGTTCTGATTCATAATCTACTTTTTATGTTGAACTTTGCAAGCCCGCAGGAGACAGGCCCCTCTGGTACTGCAGCGTCTGTCATCTCAGGCATCTGGCTACAACATAAGCAGGCAAAAGAAATGCACTAGTTTAACGTGCAGCCTCCAACCCAGCCTAAAATGGATCCATCGTAAAACAACCATAAACAATAAGATAGATGGCACATCAGAAATACATATCATTAGCTTTATTATTATTTGTTTATTTTTATGAGCAGAATATATTTACTGGGGGAGAGAAAGCTCCTGTCAGAGGAGGGACAGGAGGGGTCCCCAAGCAGGTAGTCCCCAGTTAGCTTTGTTTTTACCTTTCTGAAAAGATCCCATTCTGAAAAGAAGCAGTGTAAGTCTTCCTCTTGTCCACAGGCATAATATCCACATAACCGCCATGATTTCGAATGACCCCAGCATGGACTGCTGCCCTACAGATACTGGACAGCTGAAGGAACAAGCAATGGATCCACTGTTACTAGGAAATATCCCCTGAACTTAACCCAATCTACTCTTCTATGTGGCTGAATGCCCTGTCTTCTCTCTGGCTAGTGAGCAGCTGCTGGACAATATTGTGCACATCAAGGAATCTTTCAGAAGTCACAAAGTCAAAGCCAATTCTGAGCGAGTCTGAAGGCAAATTCTGTGGATGGCTTCCAAAGCAAGATTCCTGTCCATTTTATCTAGCCAGCGTTCACCCACCCAAACAGTAAGCTTTACTAGTTAAAGCAATAAAGAGAAAATTAGCTCCTATTAACTCTGTAAGAGCCTGTCATTCTAATTTTTGCCTTTGCTACTGTACATTGAATCAGTCTAACCAAATATAGGCTGGTTGATTTGTTCATCTGAGTTCATTTTTATTCAGTTATGTTGTTTTGAATAATATGCAACTTAACCATAGTTCTATATATAATAGCCCATTTGCGAAAATATTGGTATATATGAAGAGGTAGGTTTTTACTGTTAAATCATATAATGTATGTACAGATATTTGCCTGAAAGAATAACCCCAAGAAGAAAAATATAAAGAATAATCCTCTCTTCCACCTAGAGTTGCAAAGCTTATCACCCAGGTTTGAAAGTTCTGACACAAATGCTAGGAAGAGTCTATGTTTATATTAAATCAGCCATACAAGCTTAATTGGACACAAGCTGAATTAGATATGGTTTCTATGGAGGAGAAATTATTTCAAGCACTTTCAAATTTTTAAAACTACTGGCTTCTAAAATAATTTCTTTCAGAACATGAAACTATTGCCTACTTTTTAATGTGGGCTTTACTCCAAATGCTCTACCAAAGTATGGATAGCTGAGTTTAGCCTGAGAAAATCCCACAACAGGAAATACTTCAAATGTTTCAGTACACAGCACTCCACCTCGCAGCCCCACCAGTCTTCCACAGTGCTTCTGGTGTCTTTCTATCTCTGCGCACATGCAGTGATTTAATGTGTTTTTATAAGTTCATTTAAGCTTGTGTATCTTACATGACCTTGCTTTATCACTGTGCTCTGAACTCTGAGGCATCCGTCAGTATTTATTAGTTCAGCGGGTCTGGAGACCAAGATGTTTAATCCTTCTCATGCTTTTGCTATATCACAAAATATCATATATCTAAAGTCTGTGTTCTTCCTCTGACATGGCATTCTATGCATCAACTCATACCTGACACTAAATTTATAACTAAATCAAATGCACAGTGGAATTAAAATAATTCTGTGTACATTTCAGCATTTACCCTCTTCTATTAAAAGGGAAGCATCAGCATTTCCCTCCCCCAGCCAACAAAAGTGCTTAGATAGACCATTCGTTGAATCCAACTACTTACTAAGTTTTGAGACTTTTTCTTACAGTTATGTAGCCAGCAGGCATCCCTACTGAGTTCAAAGTTCAGAACTTTTTTTTATCATACTAATGTTCTCAAATAATTATATATATTTTTGAAGATAAAATCCTACTTTGTTTACCTACAAACACAGTAGTAATTTTTTAGTGATACAGAACTTAAGAACGTATAATGAACTAAAAATAAAAGTTCAAAGCAGTAGAATGTATAAATTCTAACTTAATGGGAGGAAAAGAAGAAAATCAGAGAAGTTATTTCACTCTAAACTTTTTATGTCAACCTTATTTGAAGAGATAATGAATTACGTAGAAGATGGCAATTAATGGTTTAATCTCTTGCTCTGCCCTAACCATGTGATAATAATCTTTGTCTTCAATTTACTCTTCAAAGGACCTACATAATACATATTACTTACCTATTTCATTTAGATAAGAAGGTAAAATGCACTCAGAATACAGATTCTAACCAAACCATAACTTCAGTGAGTTGACTTGAAGTTGCAAGTATATAGGGTATTCTGAAAGACCTTTTTTAAAATCAGAAATCACTAAAATTAAAAGTTCTTGTGCTTAAAAGGAAAACACAGAGAGAGTGATTTCTTTGGAAACAAGGTGTGCCCGTTCCTAAAAATTTCTTAATTTATTCTTTTCAACAAATATTTGTGTGTAAAGCACTTATTTAGTGTATGATGTCATTCACTGTGTGCTCTAAATTCTGTTAAGGCAAGAACAAGCTCAGGGCATTAATGGCTTACCAGCCATCAAATTAAGTGATGAAAGAATGAATGAACTGTCCATCTGCTGCCTTCAAAGAACTTACAAACTAATAAAAGACAGAAGGTGGTAGCAATCAGACTGCTTCATAAAACAGTCTAAATGCTAAAAGGAGAAAAAAACATTAAGAATTGAAAGAAGAATGACTTCACATTTAGGGTAGAAAAGCTGGTAATATGACTCATGGAGAAAACGATAATAATTTAGGATGTAAAGATAAAGCCATAATTTTAACTGAAAAATTTTAGAAAGCATACATATCAGATAAAAGAATACAAGCACAAATGCAAAACCAAGGTGCCTGCCATACATTTAAGCTTCAGACAAAGATAACACAGGATTGCAACATGAAAACAACAGAATAAGAGAACAATTTCAAAGATGAAGCTGAATTGGAAAAAATACCTTAGACCTAGATGAACTTGGTGAGAGATATAAGGTGGGAGTGTGCTTATCTCAGGCCTCTTTAAATAAATTCCTGATGTATTCAACTGAATATGTGCACCAAGAAGATAGGACCTGTTTCTGTGGCTCTGTTTTCGAAATCCGTAATGGTTCCTAAACACACTTTCAGTCCTCATCCGCGTGTTTCAAGACTGCACTCTCTTCTCACAGATAATTTGGCTGCTGCCCCTTCTAGCTTCAACTCTTAGCAGCTCAGAGACAACCAAGGCTATTTGTTATCCCTCAGGAAGCACATTTACCGACCCCCAGGGTCTTGCAGATGGCTTGTGCCCCACCCAGAACGTGTTCCCTGCTCCTCTTACCAGCAGTGCTTAAAAGTGACTGACTCAGAGTCCACTCACCCCTACGGAAGCCATCGCAGGTAAGGCTTCTCACCCAATCTCATGGGAGGAATAGATTTCAACATGCCTGAAACTAGTTCCCTTTTGCATGATGCATGATTAAAATTCATATGACTGCCTCATTTTTTAAATGTCATATGAAAGGCATACGGATATTATAACTCTCTTCAAAGTAGACTCAACTGTTTATTTTAAAGGATGATCTATTTTGATATTATACTAGATTCTGAGTGTCCCTTGGCAATGAAATATTATTTTATAATTTGATGAAATACTAATCATGTAGGTCAGACTTCAGAAGCTGAAAAACAAAGGGAAAGCTTTTAAAGGCAAAAATGTATTTTTCTTTCCAAGAATGCTTTAGACTATTCAAGTGTCTGACCTAAGATATGGAGGTGATATTAAGAAAAATTTAGTCAAAATACATGATGGTATATTCATAGTTTAACAGTGCAAGTCTGAGTACATGAGTATCTCTATACAAGCTATTCCCTTCCTTTGCATATAAGGGCAAATATATATACATATATGTATATATATTTGCATATACATATATATGTATATATATTTGCATATATATGTTTATAGATACATGAATACTGAGAGTTGTAGCAATTCGGATACTTACATCAGAATAAACTCGAGATCCAATTACACGAGCATAATGTGGATTCGCTTGCATACAGTTACGAGGACAATAAACTCTGAAGAAAAAACATAAAGTAAGCCGGTTCCTTCACTCTTTCTTACTAATGAAGCAATAAGTGTTCAAATATATAACTCAATTCGACCTCAAAAGCCCCATTCAGCCTTTTCTCCCTCAAAATGGACCAACTACATAAGGAATGCAGTTGTATAATTGTTTCTTTTTATCTACTTCCAGGTTTTAGCATTAATGTGATTTAAAAAAATTTTCATCAGGAAGCCTTCTAACTTGGAGCTTCAAAGGACAAAAAAGTCATGAATCATCTTGTTAGATCTGAGATTTCGTACTCAATATGTCTATAAAACTTAGAAAGCAGATGACTTGGGCCACCTCTGCTGCTCCCTCCTGAGGTCTCCTCATTTCCCTAAGTTCACATTTTGTTGCCTAATCCAGCTCGTGGCCAATAGAAGGTGAAGTGCGCGCTTCTTATAGGAGCGCCACAGTCTGTGTCACCTTGAGAACAACCAAGTTCGATCTTCAAGTGAAACACCGCTTTCCTATAAAAGTGTACGTTTAATGAAGCTTTTCCAAAGTAAATAAAACTTGCCATATAAATTAGGCTCCTTAAATATATTAGCAAATATAGTTTTTCAAACCACAATTATATCTCTGACTCTCATTCCTGGCTTTTGGAAGAAGAGTGGATACTAATGTGAATAAAGTACCGTGGAGAGCTTTAACATTGTACATGTGAGGACATACTTCACTTTGCCTGTGTACTTATTACAGCTTATGGCCCTAATGCCTTGCCCAGTTTTCAGTTTAGCTTTCCCAAGAGAAAACCTTTTCAAAATTATTTTATAGTAGACAAACTCTATTTTAATTCTTTTTAAAAGTGCATACAAAAATGAAATAAGTAGGGCCAGGGAGATGGTTCAGTGGAATAAGCACTATCCTAGCAAGCACAAGAGCCTGAGTTCAATCCCTGGTTCTGACAAAAAAAAAAAAAAATGAAATAAGTGTTGATTGAGATGGGCAATTTTTAAATCAGTTTCTTCATAAATGTCAATTCGATTAAGAATTGGATAAAAATTAATCAATTATGCCTTGGGCTGGGTCTGATAGCCCATGCCTGTAATCCCAGCACTCAGAAGGCTAAGGCAAAAGAATCTTCATGGGTTGGAGGTCAGCCTGGGCTACACAGTGTGTTCAAGACCAGCTTGAATGTACAGCAAGACCCTGTCTCAAAAAGAAACCCCAAGAAAAAAATACTAATCATGTCACTTTTTAGTTTCTATTTGAAGAACTAGCTACAGAAACTATGGAATGAAAACTTTTATCCATCCAAAATTCCTATGTTGAAGTCCCAACCCCAATATGACTACTTTTGGAGACAAATCTCTTATGGAGGTAACTAAGGTCAGATGTCATGATAGAGTAGAGCCCTTACCCAGCATTACTCAGTAAGATTAGTGTTCTTATAAGAAGAGATACAAAGGGGCATTCCTTCCTCCTGCCCCTGTGTGAGGACACAGAAATAAGGTGGCTTCCCACACACCGTGGAGAGAGTCCTCATAGGATCCATACTAGCTGGCACCTTTACCTCGGACTTCCCCTCTCCTACAACTGTAAGAAATCATTTGTACTGTTGATGCCAACCAAGAAGACTAAGCTAGATCTCTTTGTAGCCCATATGAATACACAGCTGGGAGGCACAAGCTCTGCTACTGGTGAAGAGCAGAAAACACTTTTGGATTTGGAGAAGGTGCAGCAGAAATGTGTGGAGGGCATGTAGTTTATGATATCCCACTACTTCTTCTTGATTGACAGCTCGAGATCATATACAGCTCTGAATGCTGGAAGTAACTGAATCTCAGGTAAAGGCAGATACCACAAGCACAAAGCTGAGAGAAAGAGAGAGGGAGAGAGAGAGAGAGAGAGAGAGAGAGAGAGAGAGAGAGAGAGAGAGGAGAGTGTATACATGGACTCTACTAAAAATTTGCACATCAAAAAAGGAAAAACTTGTATAAATATTTTAATGTTAAATTTATCAGGACATCGTGAGATTAATACAAGTCACTTCCAGCCTCTACAATTACAAGAGGGTCTCAAACTGGCGAGGGAAAACTGTGAAATGTGCATTTGTTTTTTATTAATTTTTTAAGTGAGAAAATTTAGAAGATAGTACCTTGGACAATGTGAGGCAGGCTTATGAAATGGACAGAGCTGTTCCACAGTAGTTTCACAAGTTACAGCCTGAACTGAAATATGAAAGCAAAACTCAGTAAGTGAATCTTTATAAGCAAAAATGTGCTGCACAGTAGTAAAAAAAATATGATTTACAAAGTACTAACCTGTTACTTTAGAGACTGTGAAGGAATTGGCAGACTGATATTTGCTGAAGATAAAAAAATTAGGTATGTTAATCATTAGCTTATGGGCACTATAATCACAACAATTCCTGGTATTTTTCAGATATACATTTTATCCAAATATTAAATACTCATGAAATAATTGTCATAAATATTAAAATAGCTATATAAGAGTGTGGTATCTATTTGTTTCTAAGTCTTTATTATCTTCACTTATGAACCAAATCAATATCACCCTTAACGTGAGAATATAGTCTTTTTTATTAGCAATCTCAATATTTATAAAAAACCAAGGCACATGTCTTCATATTTGATTCTTCTCAAAATTAAAAATATTAATTACCTATCTCTGGAGAACCAACCTACTTAATCCTTCATGATAGTAAATAAAAGGCATTCTTGTAAAAGACTATAAAATAGTAAATATCTTTGAAGGAGTATGCATTAAGGTTTTTTTTTTTGGTTCACCCTAGAGCCTAGAAAAATGTTTACAGCAAATGAATGAAACTTTCTTCAGTATATTTCATTATTAAAAATAGTAATATGAGATTAAGAATACCATTATTATCAAAATTCTAATTAGTTCATATATATTTTAATTTTGAAGAAAATATCTATTGCAAAAGGGAAGGTTTATTTGTTGGTGTTATTTTATCATAGTACACTCTCTGAATACATTATGTCAAGACTGATGTGAAAATCTCAAAATCTTTCATTTCTCTCCTTTTCAAATTCAATGGTTAGTACTCATCATATGTAATGTAACCACCTCAAATATCATTGGTTTGAAGCACAAATACATA